GAGCCGGCCCGGTGCAGGGAGGCGGCGGGGGACATCGCTGAGGTAAGGCGGCTGTTTTGTCCTCACGCCTCGACGGGGTGTCAGGGAGGTGGCTGGCGCGGTGGGGAGCTCCCCAAATATAAATATGAAGTGTTAAATAAATGCTGGAGGAGGCCGTCAAGACCCACCAAGCGTTAGTCTGAGGCGGGTGCAGGTTTATACAAGTTAATGATGAGGTTTGTGTGAGCAGCAGTAGCTCTGGGCAAGCACACGCTTCAGTAAAAACTCCGTGCTGTGGTTGCCAGGAGCGCCGTTAAGAAGTTTTAAGTATGTGTTGGACCTTTGTGAAATAAGTTAGTAATGGTGGTGGCTGAATTCTGCACAAAGACACGTGTTCAAGCTACATGTCGGTTAAATCCAGTCTGGCTGCTGAGAAAAGAATCACAGAATCAGAATCCCAGCATGGTCAGGGTTGGCAGGGCCCTCTGTGGGTCACCCAGCCCAACCCCCTGCCCAAGCAGGGTCACCCAGAGCCGGCTGCACAGCACCGCGTCCAGGCGGGGCTGGACCCTCAGCCTCTCCTCATAGGAGAGATGCTCCAGTCCCCTCCTCATCCTCGCAGCCCTCCGCTGGACTCTCTCCAGTAGCTCCTCATCTTTCTTGAACTGGGGAGCCCAGCACTGGACGCAGCACTGCAGATGGGGCCTCACCAGGGCAGAGCAGAGGGGGAGGAGAAACCCCCTCGACCTGCTGGCCCTTTAAGACCCTTGAATCTTTCAGCTCATTTGGCCCAGAAGAGCTCACCAGCATTAAAAAAGTGGTACTGTCTGCTCTTCCTTTCCCCCTTGTAACCATCAGGTAACCGCAAACACCTATGGAGGAAAATACGGTGTTCGCATACCGTAACTCCTGACTCACCATCTGTGCGTGCGTTTCCGTAGTCCGGCAGGATGATGCTCCTGGTTTTGGCAGGTGGAAGCGTTGGTTCTCGTGTGACGTTTGCAGGGGATGTTTCTCAAACGCTGCGGTTCAAAGACTGTCATCAGGGTTGTTGCAGGGGCTCGGCACGGCGGTGCCTGCACGCATCTGTCCCAGAAAGCCAAACCCCTGAGCATCCCCCGTGAAGAGAGCTCACCGCTTGTGTCTAAAGGCATTTTTCTCTTGCAGGTCATTAAAGCTCGGGTAAAAGACCTTATGATCCCAAGGTACAAGATCGTCGTGGTGACGCATATCGGGCAGCTGAATGAGCAGAGCATGCGGATCGGGAGCCGGTGCCTGTGGGATCCTGCGAGTGACACGTTTTCATCGTACGTGTTCAAGAACGCTTCGCTGTTTGCTCTTGCAAATGTCTATGCTGTCTACTTTGAATAAGGGGGTAGCTGAATTTAGCAGCAGGAGAAATGACCATTCAGCCTAACTCTTCCTCTTTCTGTTGTTGAGAACGATTGTGAAGGACCAAGGCAGCTTTCACCTGTTTTGCGATGCGGTTGCCAGAAGCCTTTCAGTGGTGAATGTCAAGTTGGATTTCCCAGAGCTTTCTCTGGGAAGTGATTCTCTCTGAAATGCCGTTTTGCACCTGATTCTAGCTGCTTTCAGAACTGACTATCCCTGTAATCCCTTTTTCTCCCTGAATTTGCCCTCGCTGTGTGATCCCCAAGTAGAAACCACATTTTTTGGAAAGTAAAACAGAAGCATTTTAAAACCACCCCCGTTAAATGGCGTTTGCGGGCAGTGAAGCGCGTGCTCGGCCCCGCAGCGCCGTGTTGCAGATGCCGTGTGCCGTCGAGCCGCAGCAGCTCGGTGCTGCAGGTTACCCTGTCCTGTTCGGGGACAGAGGGATCCCCCCAAACCTTCTCACCGCCCTGGAGATGCCCCGGGTGGGCTCTGCGGTGGGAGGCCGGGAGCTTTGCTCGCCTGGAGCCGGCCTGGCCATCCCTGAGCCCCAAGGAAAGCCCTGAGTGCAGAGAAGGTGGCCCAGAGAAAGCGATTGGTTCTGTTTGGAGGAGACTGGCTCTGTCCCGTGGTGCTTGAAGTCAAGTGAAAAATGCCTTCAAATTATACCCTGTTTAGTGTATCTAACGTATCTGGGCCCATCTGTTGAAGGCGCTTGAATCTAGCAGAAAAAACCTGCTTTGGGGTTCTCAGCTGGTACTTGCCTATAGATAAGAGGGGAAGTGCAGCCCTCTGGGCTCAGGAGTGGATTTCCGGTCTCCCTGGGTGCAAATTAACTGTCTGCTGGGTAGGACCTCGGGTGGACGTTACTGGGAGCGGCTGGAACAGGGGATAACCCGTGGCTGCTGCCCGCCCGGCGTAGGGGCTGGCGCGGGCCGGTCCC